TTGAGAATGTACAAATAAAAAGATTAAAAAATCACGTATGCATAGAAAAAACCTATGTACATACAATGATTTATGGTAGGATTTCAAACAATGTGACCACATAACCATTACTACAAAGATGTATAGTAATTAGTATGCGTTAATGTTAATTTTAACATCGATCTTTCCATTTTAATCTCTTGTGGGTATCGTCAGCGATCTACAATCTGATTTTAAACGTGTGTGAATATATAATATAAATGAATAAATGATTTAGCGTAATAGAGAAAGAGTCATCCATCGGTCACGAAGCCGAATGCGCGCCTATTATAACAGTAACGACGAACGACCGACAGGGGTGAACAACTGGTTGCAGGCGAACCGACGATGAGGGCAATTATCATAATTACTTCTTGCCTGCAAAGACAAATAGTGTATGCTGTTTATAAGGAATTTTGCGGATATTAAGTGGTTGTGATTAATGGTAGTAGTAATGTGTTGTTTAGATTTTAAAGAATTCTCATTTGAAGAATTAACTTTAGTATTGGATAAGCATATCTCATATTACCCTTAATGGTATATTGGTTTTCGTCAAAAATCTGTTTTGCTAATTTTGTCTTCTCGACATTTCAAGTCATTCTGAATCGAATGAGATCAAATTTGAAAAAAGTATGCATGCGTGTGTGTATGTAAGCCCATATTTGACCTTTCGTCGATGTTTTCCTCAAAAACGGCTGGGTCTATTTCAAAAATTTAAGTCACCCGATGTAATGCGATAAGAACTAGCGTTGGTCCGTTTAACGCGCGATTATCGATCAAGCCGTTTCTTTATAATGAACAAAACAGTGTGAAAATTTTGGTCCTACAATCTTGAATCAATTTTAGAAATTCAAAAACTGTTCCAAAGATATTGGTTGAGAGATTAATCGTGCTGATTAGTTTTTTTGCTAAATATCAGCCGTGTAGTTTCTTCGTAGTTCATTTTCTTTAACGATTTTCAAGAAACGATAGATTTTCTACTCTAAAATAGCATACTAAAATATTGTAGCTCTACGATAAGCGGTTGAATTATAAAAATTCATCAAACACGAAATATTGCAGCGCGCTAAACGATTCTAATCGGAATCTACGCCGAGCATACGTACTGTGTTAGCTACTGATTACAGTTGACGCCTCCTCTTAAATTAATAATATGACTTTCACTCACTACTAGTTTACTGAATATGTTTATTATTTTGTTTTCAATATATGCAGTTATATATTAATAATAACACAAAATATTCTTCTATAATCTGTTACTGCTTGTACGAAATAATCTGCTTCAATTTCACTATCTGTCAAATATAAAAGTAAACATATTAGGAATATTGATAGTTTTTTAAACGAGAATTTTAAATCATTATAATTTTTCTTATAAGTATATGTATTCATTTTAAAGCTTTTGTATTTTTGTATGTGGTTTAGAAATATTTATTTCTATAAAAAATATACAATCAATTTTTATTTTAATTTTGTCATTATATTATACATAAAATATTCTGCGGATTCGTTCTTCATTATTTTGCTAAGTACGAGAGTCATTTCATTAAATAACGTATAAGCAATTTAAAAAAATCTCAGACAATTTAAAACTATGCTTACAGAACACATTAACACTTTAAAACACAAACACTTTTTTAACTTGACTGTACTACATTTTGAAGAAATTTTTTTTACAAAAGATGCATTTGTGAATGATCTAAACAAAACCAGCAAAAGAATTTTTTTACTGCAAAATGTCCAACAAGCATAAATCTGAATCAGTTCATATACCGAAAAAATAATGTATTCTTTTTTCCCCAACTTTATACGAATATACATAAATTTTTTTACACGAATACTATAGATGCCTTATAAAAAGTTTACAGTAAGGAATTTCCTGAACACAAGTTATAGTTCTCTCTATTTGTTTTTATCATTTTTTCCATTTCGATATTTCAATTACCCGAAGGTTTTCAATACCTCCGCGTGTGCTTTACTCTATTCGGCACACTCCGGTGTTATTATTCTCTCGTAGTAAAGTTGAGTGCATATAATATATTTTGCGGAACACGTTGTTGTGTAACGGTTGTTGTCACACAGCACAGAAGCAATAATAGACAAAGACCAACCAGGAACCGGCCAACCATCTAGCCAACCAGCCAACTAGCCAAGTCAACCAGTCAGTCGTATTATAGATAGATGTAACCGAATAGAATGGATTAGAATAGAATAGAAAAGAAAATATATGCTAAAAAGATATTGTTCCATTATGTTATTACTTTAGTTACGTGAGTGTTCATACGACGACGTCTTGCTCAAGAACTCAATTGGCAACTCATTGTTGTTACGAGAGCGCTCAAAGGGGACACGCCGTTGTTCGATTGATGAAATCTCAATTAATAAAATCATTAGTATTATTATTGACTGTACACTAGTCTTCTCACGTAATTCAACGTAGTCGTAAACTTTTTTTTTGTGGAATATAGGTTCAAGTTATATGCACCTTTATGTCTGCAACGTTGCACAACGAACATGATGATAATGAGTTTTATATCTGTTTTTTTTTTATCACATGCACTTATTCCATGTGGAATATTAGCAAATTTTTTTTGTAGTACCTAAAAATATGTAAATCGAATCGCAATCTAATGATTGGTCGGGGTACAAGTTTTATATCTATTAAATATGTATTTTTTTTTTAAATCTTATTAGTTTTTATTTCTGATACTTTTTACTTTCGATCAAATTGGCTGAATTTTTATTGCCTTGGCGACTTAAGAATTTTATCTATTCTAAACCACTAATCCACAGCTTTCTCCGTGGATTAGTGGTTTGAGCTATACGACTTAAACCAGAGTTCCCAGGTTTGATATCCATTTGGGCAGCCTGATGTCAAGTAGTAGTGGCATCGGTTTTCACTTGGAAAAACAATTAGCAATGTTTCCAAGTGAAAATTCAAAACTGTGAATAAAATAAAATAATAAACTAGAAGTTAAATAATAAAATTATTTAGTTAGTCACATCATTACCAACTTGTAAATGGTAAACGAAAGCAAGGCCATGTATTATATAAAAAAGGGGTTTCATAAATGTTGTTGCAAGGTCGATTACAGAATTCTGGAAAATACTTATAAACTTGTAACATACTTTTCAGCATTTATCACGGTGTTAACATGAAATTCTTCAAAATTTCGGCTATAGGTGTAGCCTTCATTTAGTGGGCCCTAAACATAAAATTTTAAAATAAAATTGTATAACCATTACAAAAAGTAAAAAGTACTTACAATTTGCTTCTCGATGCTTCTGTTAAAACAGAAAAACACTAATCCATTATCTGAGTTTATGGTAATAATGCACTAAACTTGTTGTATTTGTTACAATGTTTCACAACTTTACTAACATGACAATATTCCCAAAGGAGGAGTAACCGTGTAATATATGTGTTATCTGTGAACTATCTGGATAAGTAATAGAGAGAAGATCTTAAAAAAAAACATTTTTACGAAGATTTTAACATGTGTGACTAATAGTGAATTATTTGCACATTATTATTGCTTTCTAAGAAATGGAAATACTATTTACATGAACCATGTTTGGATCGCACAGCAAACTGAGAATCATCGTGTTTGTTTATTATTCTATTGCTATAAATGGTCATAAAAGATTCTTCAACACGTCTTTTGTGTAATTTTTTTCAAAATGTAGTATGGTTGGGGTAAAAAAATAATCTGTTACATTAATGTGTTCTGATAGCATAGTTTTAAATTTTGGGGATTTCTAAATTTTAGCTAGTTTTCCCAACGTAAATTGATTTGCAATCTTAACAATTAATTTGATAGACCAGGTTTGCCACTAATTTAAATCATTTATTATTACATTTTACAACACATATATTAATTGTGTTCTGTTAGCATAGTTTAATTACGTTTAATACGTTGATGTGTTCTGTTAGCATAGTTTTAAATTTTTTGGGATTTTTAAATTTTAGGTAGTTTCTCCAACGTAAATTGATTTGCAATCTTAACAATTAATTTGATAGACCAGGTTTGCCACTAATTTAAATCATTTATTATTACATTTTACAACACATATATTAATTGTGTTCTGTTAGCATAGTTTAATTACGTTTAATACGTTGATGTGTTCTGTTAGCATAGTTTTAAATTTGTTTGTATTTTTAAATTTTAGCTAGCTTCCCCAACGTAAATTGATTTGAAACCTTAACAATCAATTTGATAGTCAAAGTTTGCCACTAATTTAAATCATTTATTATTACATTTTACAACACATATATTAATTGTGTTCTGTTAGCATAATTTAATTACGTTCAATACGTTATTTATTTTATTTATTTATTTATTTTTATTTATTCATAAGCAAGCCGTAATCAATAATAATAGATATTATTTCAGGCTCTTGTCAAGCTTATTCATAGCTAATATTAAAAGGATAGTAATTTTATAATAATCATAGTAGCTGCACGAATTTCGCTTCTGAAAAAAAGAGCTGAAAAAAAGCATTCGAACATTAAATACAATGTTCATCATCAACTTCATCATATTAAAGTCTATTTGACCATCAGTCAAGCTCAAAATTCTTGCACAAGGTTGCAGGTTATACTCATTTAAAACCTTAAAAATTTAAATTAATAAAATAGCAATAAAAAAAACATGGTTGTACAGGCGATCAAATAAATAGTCAAACTACATAGATAAAGGATAAGGATTATGCAAGAAAATAGTTATTGAAATCAAATTGAGAAAATTCAGTAATGTCATAAAAAGCTAATTCTTTGAAAAGTTTTACTAGTTAATGTGTTCTGTTAGCATAGTTTTAAATTTTTTGGGATTTTTTGAATTTTAGTTAGTTTCTCCAATGTAAATTAATTTGCAATCCTAACAATTAATTTGATAGACCAGATTAGCCACTAATCTAAATAATTTATTATTACATAAATTAATTTATAAATCTATCCTTTACCCAGATGAGGAGCCCTACCGCGCCAGCAACGGTCACCATCAGCAGCAGCAGCAGCAGGCGTCTGCAGCGAGTGGCGGCGGAACCTCCTTAGCCTACTCGTCTGGTGTTCCCGTCGAACGCGAACGCCACACCTCCGTCGGCTCTGACAGGTCGCACAGGTCGAGCACCTCGATCGCCACGAACCATTCGACCATCCTGGACGATGGTGTCAACAGGACAATCGCCCATAACCAGACCGACGGCGAGAACGGCGGAGTGTCGTCCGACCATGGGAGCAGGCGGAGGACAAACAGCAGCAGTATGGGGTAAGGAAAAATCAAAATATTAGGTTTTCTTCTAAAATTTGTCGAACGCATTTTTAATTGCAATTTATAAGTTGTCTAGAATTTTTTTGTATCAATTTATCCAAAATGTACATTTTAATTAATCATTTCTATGGAAATTATGCATAGTATGCATAATATGCATAGAAGTCATGTGCTCAGGATTAAATTTTATTATAGAGTTGCCTTAGGTTCATTTATCTTAAAACTTTAAAAAAGTTTGTGTTATACATCATTTATATTAATCAAATTATTCAAGATCTCCGAACGATAAAAAGATAACTGCACATTGAGCTCAGAATTATATTACATTTTCAACTGCATTGTAGTGTGATTTATGATAAAAGTATTTTTATTATCTATTTTTTTATATTATTATATCCTTATCCTATATTTTTTAATACTGTATTTATATATGTTAGTTAGTGCTTAATAGTCATAGTAGAAATACTACAATTTGAAAAAAAAGGAAATTAGTTATTAACTTTCCGTATGGTAGTTATAGTAATAGGCCGAGAATTGAAAATGAAATTTTTTGCATATCTTCACGTTTTGAAGGTTTCTGAACATTTTGGCATACTTCAGAAAAATATGGATATGTATGTGTGTGTATGTATGTATGGATACAATATTTGTCCACGTTTTTGGGCGCACCAAAGATTCCTATTGATAGGGAGATGTGCTGATTAGTTTTTGGCAAAGGCTGGTCCAGCCATTTCGGAGATACTGTTCAAAGAGTGCAGAATATAGAAATCGAGTTTTCGAGAGAACGGCTCTTCCGATTTGATCCAAAATGATCAAATGATGAAAATGATCCAAAAAACATTCAATTCGCAATGACGGGGAGAAGTAGTGATTAGTTTTTAACAAAGGCAGGTTCAGCCATTTCGGAGATACCGAGCTAAACGTGCGATTGCTTTTGGATTTTTTTTTTAATTTCAAAAAAACATTTTTTTCAATTTCAAAAAAACATTTTTTTCAATTTTAAAAAAACATTTTTTTTAATATCGAAAATAAATCAAATTTTAATTGTTTTAAGCTCACTAATATACTCAACAATCTATGATACTCAAAATAATTAATTTTAACTTTGCAATTCAGTTTATATAATTCTTATAAATATTAGACAATATCTTTCATTTTAAATTGGTTTGATTAAGTTTTGTTTATTTAATTTTCTGTAAACATATATAAGTTACAGTATTTGAAAAAATAATCTATTTGAAAACGTTTAATTTCCTTCGAATATATAATTGCGGTACGGGAAGTTCCAGCAATTTGTCTTAAGGCATGATGCCATTCACAACTAGTTGCAAATATTTTATTGAAACTACAAAAATATACAATCTATCACTAAAGTTGTTATTGGAAGAGTGCCAGTGTTTGTAATTTTGAAAATAATTCCGTACTTAATTTTATTTTAATGTCTAAAAATTAGAATACAATATGAGAAGATATAAGTTAATGACATGTCAGCAATATTAACTACGTAGTTCATTTAAAACTACTTAATAATATAATTTTTTTTGTCATTTATTTCAGGCCCCTGTCGATGAGGTCGAGTAAAGTCCCCGGTACTCGAGAAGTCCACAACAAATTGGAGAAGAATCGAAGGGCTCACCTGAAAGAATGTTTCGAATTACTCAAAGACCAACTACCTCCGAGCCCCGACGAGAAGAAAGCATCTAACTTAAGTATTCTTGGATCTGCAATCCGCTACATCCAACTCCTAAGACGTAAAGAACGAGATTATGAGAATGAAATGGAGAGATTGGCCCGAGAGAAGATCGCCTCCCAGCAAAGGATCACAACACTGAAGAGGGAGCTGTCTTCGACATGGGAGCACATAGACTTTAGCAAGCTGCTGCCGGACGAAGTTGCTGCCAAGACACCGGACAGGGAGCACAACCAGAGCAGCACACCAGCGCCGCAGAGCCTGGGGCTGAGGGCGGAGCATAGATACAGTTCGAGCAGCTCCCTGTCGAGCGCTGCGACTGCTCCGAGCCCCAGTGCGGTCACAACAAATAATGTAAGTGGAATAGTAGACACAAATAACAACTGCAACTTCGGATATCCAATTCAGAAATGCTACAATGTCATACATATAATTCTTAATCTGATGTTATGTATCCTTTTCCAGCAGATGGCAATAACCCGCGCCTCTCCAATAACTCAACTGATCTCGCCGACGGCGGCGACGATTCAAAAATCCAACGGGCAACAGGTGATCCAAATAAACCAAACAAATCAACATATCACGACAAACGGAACATCAAACGGTCCCACCATCGTCAAGACGACAAACAACCAACTTGGAGCCAAGAGGGAGCTGAACATGTACACCAAACAAGTGCCAGTGAATAGTAAAATAAATAACACGTACGCCTCTGGACATCTGATAAGCCAGAACGCTCTGATTTCGAATGGAAAAATTGCGAGATTGGAGGGCCAGCCCCAGGTCAAACTGGTGAATGGGACTCCGTCTCTGGCTCTGGTCACACAAACAGACAATCATGATAAGGATGTTAAGGTCCAGCCGACACAAATCACGCTGTCGCAGGTAAGAAAGGTATTTTAAAAATCTGGATGTAACTGACCAATTTTAAACTATTGGTAAAGTTACAAACTCTTTGTTTATCATATAGTTTGCAAATGATGGATGCATTATTTTATTTCATTAGGTAATTTTAACCCTTTCCACTCGGATGCCACCGCTTCGGCGGCAAAATTCATATAAATCTCGGAATTAGCGAGTGGAAAGGGTTAATAAAACATTGTCATTGTTTATAAATATTTGAATTTACAGGTCATCCCAGGAGGTAGTTTAGTGGTCAGTCCAATTCAATTGTCTCTTGCACCACAAAACATTAGAGTTTTGGGCAGTGCAGCCACGATTGAACTTGCAACAAGCTGTAAGTAAATTGATATATAATTATAATTAACTAGGTGTAAGTGGCATTTTTCCTCGGAGAAGTTTCTTGAATTTTTCTATGTATATAATGATTGACTTGATCAATCCGAAAGTGAGATTTAGCTAATTTTTAAATCTTTATTTCGAAAATGAAGTTTTTGCTTTCAATTAAATTTAAATTATATTTAATTAATCTTTAGATTAATGACATTTTTTATACAACTAGAGAAGTACTGTTGGCAGATATGACGAATCCATTTAGATAATTTTTATTTTCTGTAAACAATGATTTTTGTTACGAGAAAAACACTTTTGTAAAATTGGAAAATATTGAAATATTTTGTGTAAATCATACTTAGGCGTCTTGCCGGCTTATACAGCAGTATCACCCCTGCAAAAAACACCGCCGTAGCGAAAGAGTTAAGGCCGAAGTCGTGTTAAAAAGTTCAAAATTATTTTTATTACTATTATAAAATTATTCATTTTTTAAAGACAAAATCAATAATAGTTTTTAATGTCATTTTCCCCCAGCTTCTTCCCAACGCTAAGAGATACATCGGTACATCAACAACTCACGTGAGAAAAATTCTTGTGCCTCAATCTTCCGCCGGAAGTCCAGTGGTGGCGGTTCCTCAAGAGAATGGCGCCAATGGTCCGTTGGGCGGTCGATTACCAGGCGGTGCAGAACTTAATCTGCTGCCCACTAACGGAGGGCCGCAGGTGGTGAAGAACAATTCGAACCATCAGCCCAACATTCTTTATCGGACAAACAAGACGGGCGGAGCCTTGATTGTCAACAATGGGATTGCTTTGAAATCAGGTAATGGTAATAGAAATAAAGAACTAGTTGTAAGTAGTATTTTATCTTAAGGCAAGTTGCATGAACTTTCTGATATGTATGGATAATCAACTTAATCAATAAGAAGAGAGATTCAACTATGTAGGTAAAATTAGTCAACTGTTTATTTCGAAAATAAATGTTTGATTTCACTAAAAATTAATCAATGCGATTTCTAATTGATGTCTTTTAAACATATTTTATGATATCTGTAATTGCATGAATTAAATTAATTTGTTCAACATATTTAATTTCATCAATTTTGGGTTCTAAAAATGTATGTTATTTAAGTGTGGACGTCCAACGGTAATCAGTAGCTACCTACCAACGAAACACGGAGAATCGTCTAAGCGCACGGCTAAATTTTAAACTATGATGAATTTTTATAATTCAACCGCTTATCGTAGGCCTATAATATTTTAGTATGTTATTTATGACTTGGAAAGCTATTGTTATACTAAGTTTCATCGGAATTGTTTTAAACAATTTTTCCAACATTTAATTACGAAGAAACGGACTGGCCGATTTTCGTCAAAAACTAACTAGTACGATTTCTAAATGATTTTAAAATCGATTCAAATTCGGACGAAAAAATTTACACTTCTGTGCTAATTGCAAAGAAGCAGCTTGGCCGATCGTTACACAAAACTCATAAATCCTAGTTCTTATCGAGTTACATCGAATGGCGATTTAGATCCTCATTTGACTTGAAACGTAAAGAAAACATAAAATTTGCAAATTGGACTTTTTCGCGATAAGATTTCTCCTTCGGGAAGTTAAAAATCATTGCATTTTACCTAACTTCGTTTCCTTATGTGTCCTTAGGTGAAAATGCGAGTTCTCGGCCTGTCCACGTGATGACTCCAATAGGAAGTTGCGCGACATCTCTCTCGGGGCTGACGCCCCTTGTCGTGTCCCAGAGTCAAGGGGGACAAGTGACACATATCGTTGCTTCGCCCTCGCAGTTGGGAGGAAAGGTACGTTGTGAATATAAAAGTCACAAAAATAAATTTTAAAATGGTTTTGCCCGTGCCTTGCCTTGCGTCGTTTCGTTTGCGATTCTTTCAAAGTTGCGTTGTTGCTTATTTGGTAGAAGTTTTTACGGTACGTCGTTGGATTTTTTAAGTTGGTGGATTCGAGATTTCTATTTTTAAAATGATGGAGACTGAGGTAAAGGAATTTCTAAGCACCGAGAGGCGGTTGCTATCTGAAATCCACAATAGATCCACATGGATGTCACAGAGCTGAAGGCACTCTTGTGGATTTCAGATTGCTGCGGATATTTGATTTGTGTTGACGGTGGGACGTGCTGATTAGTTTTTGATAAAGGCAGGCTCAGTTTCAATTATAAAAAATTATTAAAACCTGGATTATTTAGTCGCGCTTTTGGAAAATACTTCAAGTTGTATAAGACACGTGTTCGATTTTTAATAATGTATAATAAATTAACTCATCAATGAATACTTATAAATCTATCATAAATTAATATGTTAATTTATTATTGACTAAGTCAATTATTTACTACATGTTGGGAAGTTCATGAAACTTTGCCTTAAGGCAAAATTCCACTTACGACTAGTTTGTATGCATAAGAGAGTTTTTGCAAAATTTTGTGTATTGATGAATATACTTGTCATATACATCAATCTTTTATCATAAATTGCACTTTTTTGAAAAGAAAAAAGCAAAAATTCTCAAATGTTCTTGAAACATATTTAGAATATTTTGGGGGCTGCTATGTCATTACAAAATAAGT